AACAAGTTAAATTTGGTCTTATATTTAGAAATACAACAAACTAGCACAGCACCCACAGAGAAATTCGACATGCGCTACATTTTTTGCCAATATTTAGTGCGCTAAAGACTTCCACAAGCCTGGCCATTCGATACGTATCGCTGAATATCACAGGAAAAAATTATCCCCAAAACGAACACTTCACCGGGACTCGAACCCAGAACAGTTTTCAGGTTTACGACCATAAGTCATGTAAGTTTCTAACCGAAACGGAAAAACTTTGCCCGGGCGACGTTCTTTCGTCGTATTTAGTTTAAGAACAATAGAAATAATCTTCACCGGGAATCAAACCCAAGACAGTTTTTCGAAGTTGTGATCTTTGTTTCTGTAATCTATTTGAAGCAAACAAATCTGGTCTTTGCGCCATCTATCATGCTTAGTTGCGAAGCTACAAAAACAATCTTCATCAAGATTCGAACTTAAGGCAAAATTTTGGGGTTGTGGCCTTATTTTCTTCAATGTCCTCTTTGAGACAAAAAAACTCTGGTACTAACGCCGATCTTCTATCATGTTTATTTCTGAGCTACAGAAACCATCTTCACCATGAAGTAAACTCAGGACACTTTTCTTGCTTTCATCTTCCTACAATCTCTTTTTGGTATCAAGGAAATAGAATGCTAAGTTTGATGCAAATCAAGGTATCCATTCTTGATTTATAAACAAACAATAAAATAAATAAATATACCCATAATTTCAACATTATATACAAGATATACGTAATCTTACATTTTGATATATGTTCACACAAAATGTCATTACCATCAGACAGCTGAATATTGATATCAATATTAATATTAAAACAAATTTCAGGATATTCCACAAGTATGATCAGTTTATATTCATCTCAGAAGTTCGCACAGTTGCCATATTGGTATTACTGCGAAGAACAACAAAACAAATTTTATCAAATTTGTAAGGGACTGCAGTAATGGTGCTGGATAATCCAACCTCAGGAGTACAATCCACAAGTGATGAATTGGGCTTCCAGCTTACAGACACAGACATTGACAACGTTGACATGAAATAAGACGGAAAGAAGAGGATCGGGGAGTACGGCAGGGACAAAGCCAACAGGAAAATTTGTACTGCCATGAGGAGTCTATAAACAGTTCATAAAAGCAAACAATCAATGCAAACTATTTCTGAAAATAAATGTCAGTTGTGTAAACAAACGTAAAGTAATTTCTGACATTTTGTAAATACAAGAAATTTAAAAAAGTCTTTACGCTAAAATTTTTTTTAATGGGGCCATGTTTTTATTGCATTACAGTAAAATTCTGTTATATCAATATTCGATATAGTGAAATATTTTTCTATAGGAGTACATGGTTGAACAATATTTTCATTACGCTAATGTTGTTATACTGTACTTCTGTTCATTATACAAAGACTTTAGTGTAGTTACAAGATAAAACATTCGCCATCTTTTATGGAATCCAAAAATCCATTAAGGTATTGCCATCATTATCTGTCCTCCTAGACCAAAATCATTATGTAAACAGTGAGGCGGCAAACACACCTACTCCCCTATATGAAGGGCAGTGCTGAAAAGTTCTGACGTATAGGGAATTGGTACATCATGAAGACAATCTTCAAAACAAAACATGCTCTCAGGAGATTGATTATGAGAACCAGATGGCCCATTGTGTCACAGCATCCGTTGCGAATGTCGAAGAAGCTGTGTTGGTGAAACAAGCAGACAGGTAGCAGTGGGAGTCCCTTAACATAAGCATAATCTGAGAAAGGGCTTCTAGAAAAATCTAAACTGGCCCAACAGGCCTATGAGAAAGGCCACTGAATACGCTGGGATGACGCCAGAATTTGGAAAATCGAGAGCAATAGGAGGTACAGAAAATATAAGGAATCGGTCCACATGGCGTGTCTAACCAAACTGATTGGCCAACCAAGCTTGGAGATTTCTCCTATGTGGACCCCTCTTATCAGCGATGAAGTTGCTAACTCACAGGGAGGATTGATAGACTCTCATTAACTTCCACTTAGGAGTTCATTCTTGGGCCACAGACGGCACTAGCAATGGACAGACGTGAAGTAAAAAGGGGTTCAAAGTTTGTCTCCATTGGAGTTTGAGATTTGGTTTGATGTATTTTGCCCTCCTCCACGTTATTTTGTGATCTTTGACTTTCGTACCTCTTCTATACTTTTTATTGTTATATCTTTCTATTGTCTCTTGTTGACAGAACCTCACCTCAGATGTTTATACTTGTTACTATTCTGACCCAGGTTCTACAGTGATTGAGGTCTTTCTAACAGACCCAACAGAGAAGGTGCCCCTGCCCCATATACCTGACACAGATGCACATTTAACCTTAGACGTTGAACAAAGCTTAAAAACCCAGTAAACTGAACCAATTCTTTTGTTATCAAAACTAGGGTGAAAATATGCACACTACAGAATGAAAAGGAATTATCATGAACGTGTAACAGCGAGACTATACAGACTAAGGGCTTTTTGCAGTTTCTCTCAATCCATCTAAAGAACAGTCCCAACCCATCTTTCATAAACATCCTGCCATGTGACACTAGGGTGCATAATAAATAAAGTATGAAAAGTTCTAGAAAGCAGCTCATTGTGCAAATACACACACGCGCGATATAACAATACTTCCCTATATGAAAGTTAAGTCTGAAATTCCTGTCTGTATATTTAACAAGGTAACTACAGATGTTCATTTATGTCTGAGAGCAAGATGCGAGTTGTATCTGACCAATATAAACCAAACACAAATTTTGTGAACACTTCTACAGGACCTTAAATAAATATTAGGTCTCAGCTCAATAGCTGAAGAATATGGCATACAAACATAAGATGAAGCAATGGACAAAAACATGCAACAGGAAGAAGGGACATAGAGTTGCATCATGACCATAAGATACTTGGATTATGCATATATACAGTAAAGCCCTCAAGTTGGACACTTTTAATTGGAACTGGCGAATATCCTATAATTTTACATATCCACAATACCCTATATCTTGGACACCCCTTTATCCTGGAACTTGGTCACCCCTTTTGTTGTAAGTTGGACAGGTGCACACATGCACTTAGCTTCAATGCTTTTATGGGAAGCGTTTACAGTTAGTATTTTGTTGTTTTGAATTTCTGACTGATGAATGCCTCCTCTCTGGATGATTTGCTTATGGTTGAAGGTGTGAGACATTGAGCACATCATTGGAATGCAGTTAAAGTGTATAGTTATTCCTTTGTTAAACCCTTCACTGGAGTTTTAACTTTGTCAGTACTGTGCTTGCAACTGAGTTAAACGGTGTTAACAGAAATTGGAACGGTATGCTTTCGTTCATAATCAACCAGGAATGGTTGAAAATTTATTCGGATTGCGGCAAAAATTAGAAAGAGGATGGCAAATTCCAAGATAAAAGCAAAAAAGCAGTGTCTTGTGACAGACTTTTTTACAAGAAATAAGTGACATCATATGTTAAGTTAATGTCGTAAGTACAATTAAAAAAATACATTCTGAACATTTAAAATTTCATTGAGGCTGGGGTGTAATGTGCAACCATGAAACCATGTCTACACTTGTGCGCTTTCATTTTCAACTTTCAATTCAACTCTCGTTTAGGGCATGCCTTTGTTGAATACGTCAAAGGCATGCCCCTAGCTGTCAACACTACGCTGCCATTTGTCAGACATTTTTGTTAACAGGAGAGAGGAACATGTCAGACACAACTTTACATTTCGGTATAAGTGCAGCATATTTAGTTATCACAGGTGCAAGAAACAGAAAAGAGCAATGGCAGCGATGCATATGGATGAAGGATTATTTAAAGAAACAGAATTTTGGAATTCTGAAGTCAAAGCACAGTTTTGTTTTGTTTTATTAGTGTAGTCTCGATGGTTTTGGTCCCATAATAGTTTAAACGACCTGTAAATGTCGATAAACAACAAAGTTTCTTCTTCCGAAAACGTCATCTTGTAGAGGAAGAAGACGCGAGACGCACAGCGTGTTGAAACAAAACCCACTCAGGCTGGGAACACGTGCAATGAGGCATGCACTGCTAATACTGTTTCCGTTCAACTCTTTTCAGGCATGCGTCGACGCATACGTTACGTGCCCAATTGCTTGCGCTATAACGCATGCCCTTGATGAACGTAAAAGCGCACGAGTGTAGACATGGCTTGAGAGTGGATTCCAAAAGATTATTATTATTGTCATTAATTCTTAATTCCAGCAAGCCTACAATAGTTAGATTATGTAAGTAATCGTTGTCGGTAAATGTAAAGTATTGGTGCCCTTCCTTTTGAGCTTATCCATGCAAGTTTAATTTAGTGAAAACAAAATTTGTAAAAATTTAATTTACCTTTTGATTTTTCTTATCAATAATTTCCTTTTTGGGAACGGCTCCATAATACTTTATAATTACCACATTGTCATTACACAACAATTTGAAAGGATGATTTTCCCCTTTCCATCTATCCTGGACACCTCTGTAAGTTGGATATATTATCGTGGAACTGCAAGTGTCCAAGTTAGAGAGGTTTTACTGTATATAGAAAACATCTAAAATAACAAACCTACCTGACTAAAATAAAATAATGGTAATGACCGAGTACAAGAATAAAGATCATGTGTTTAAGATTTGATTCTGGACATCGAAGCCGAATATACTAAGTGATAAGTTTACAATGGCACTTGTGAGTTAATTTTGCAGTAGACTATAACATCGAAAACCTTCCAATTGACTTGGTATTTTCTCAAGAAAGAAAAACCAAGAAAACAAGAGTAATTATGTCACTGTTGCTTTTCTGGATTGTAAACCTGTGAGAACTTGAAGGGAAATACCATTTTGGATGAACACACTGTCTTCATCTTTGCACACTGAATGTATACAGAATTACTTCGTTATTTGATTTCATAGTTTTTCTCTGTGTATCTTTTATCTCTTATGTTGCTCTTATTTTAATTTTATTTATACTACAGTACTACCTTAACAGCATTTTATTTTGATAGCAACAGTGTTCTGAACGTTTGGCCACAGAAAATTGAACCCTATGTACAAAATGTTTCAGTCATGCTTCATTCTGACGACCATCAGTAGTAGTATGGTTAAACATGAGTCTGGTCAGCTGAATTTTATTTCATCAATAAATGCTGAAGGCTGAAGCTTTTGTGATCATCTTCTCTTCTCTTCACCTCAACTCTTTCCTTTCTTGAACCTATGCCGAGCTTGAGCTTTAGTGTACGATTGATATGTTTTTTCCTCTTTAACAGTGTCATTTGTGTCAACAGACTGGGATTCCTTATCATCTGAAAAATATAAAAACATTTATCTGAAGTCCCAAGACACAAAAACTATGCAGTGTAATCAAGAGGTCCATAGTTAAAATTTCAGCCCTAAGGCCAACCAGTTCTGACTGAGGTTTCTTTGGTATTCCTCAGTCCATTCATCTCAAAATGCATGATTTGTTATTTTGCATACCTCAATGGCCTTCAGTTAACTGAACCAAATGACACTAAGCTCATTACAGTATAGATATCACACACTATGTAGTCAGAAAATATTGTTCTTCTTATTCCATTAAATATTAGAAGAGGGCTGGAGGATACTTGACACAGCATAAGGAAATGTGAGATTGTGATTTGCTAAAAAAAGGGAAAGCGACAAATATTTAAGGTATGCCAGCGGCTCAGTGAATTCAGCAGTAAAGTACTAACACCCAAAACAAGAATATTATTTCTGACCTCGAAGAAAATCCAATGGGGGCTCCAACAATGCTTCTCTTTGGCATTTCATATAGTAACGCAAGCCTCGCGCAACTCCATAACCAATGGCAGCTACGGCAACAGTCAGCAACGCCATCAGAATAGGATGCTGTAATATCAAGAGATATATGTGTCACAAATGAGAAATAATTTTTAACTTCATGTTTGTAATCCGTATGGTGGTAAGGTATAACCAAATGTACATATGGGAAATTGAAAAAATAAGGTAACAAGCACTCCTACATGATAGACTTTATTCTTAAACAGATGCATATGCATCACACAAAAAGATTGTACAAATCACTTTACGACATCAAGGCATGTATCCTGCCATGAAAGATGTGTGTGTCGATCATCTTAAACCAGGAAATAACAGCATGTCGCATGTCCCCACGTTTCATTTTGATCTGCAGGAGATGTACTGTATGCCCACGAATTCTTCATGAGGGAAGAATGAGCATTCAATACTGTTAACTGTACAACCTGGAGGAAAGTTTACGAATGGATCACAAAATTCAAAGGAGGGCAGTGTTCTTGGCGTTGCAGCAGTTTGTAGGTAGTCATACAAAGGAACAAGTTAAAATTTTTAAGTCATTTAATCAGTGAACACACAGCAACTGACAACTTGAAGACAATTCATCTGAAAGGAGCATGTACTAGGGGAAACAAATGTGTGCAAGAATGGCTTAAGTCCCAACCAATTTAATTTTCATGAACTCAAGAAATTTGTAAACTATCAGACCACCTGCAATGAAAAGCAGCAAGGATATTAACATATGTATGATTATTTTGTGAACTCCTGTGGTAAAACTGTACATAATTCTGTCAATTTTCTTCATGTACTATTTTGTGTCTAACTGTGAAGTTACTTACCACTAAAGTTGGTTTATGGGTTAGAATATTATCAGCTATCACAATGATAACTCCCATGATGATGCCAACACCAGCTCCAAGCCATGGGATTTGATCATCAGCTAAAACAAAATACCTTCATTCAGTTTGTCTAAATAACAAAGGCCACAAACAAAATGAAAGAAACTAGTTAATAACAATTATGCACATACATTCTCTTTTTACTTGACCTAAGATAACTGCAGGATTTGACTCAATAATGCTATAAACACAAACAATACAACTAATAATTAATTATAAAAATACAGAAAAAATCTTTCACATATTTCAAAACCTAACTTCATGGAGCAGAGTCCTTCTTGAGAAGCTAATAGTTGCTCAGCCAGTAAAGAAATTTCCAGCCATTTATAAAACTTGCAGGTACCATTTTCACAAGATCCTGCCACATATTTCAGAACCTGTTTTCTGTAAGTGGTAAAGGTAAAGTTGTCCCTGGTGGTTAATTATGCATCAAACCAAGCAGACGTACAGGGGTAATGATATTATGGGTTCTGGAGATCATACAATCTTTTACAGTAGCCAAGACACACATAAACTTGAAACAAGATTTGTGGTTTTGAGGTACTTGGTTTCTAAATTCACTCCTGTCAATGAAAGATTGTACATCCTGAGGATAAGGGGTAAACTGTTAAACATATCACTTATATGTGCACATACTAACATAAGAGGCAGAGGAAGAAATCAAAGATTTTATAAACAACTAGAAAATATTTATGATAACCTGTCCAAATATGATGTAAAGATTCTCCTAGGAGATATGAATGCCAAAATTGAAAGAGAAGGGCCCTTAGACCAACTATTGGGCCACATAGTCTGCATGAATTACCTAACAATGGCATTAGGCTTGTAGATTCTGCAATATGTAGAGGCATGACAATAAGCAGCACATATTTTCAGCATAAGGACATACATAAAGCAACCTGGGTTTCACCAGACGGCAGCACCTTCAATCAAATTGACCACCACTGTTTGAACGACAGAAAACATGGAACTAACATAATGGATGTGAGAAGTATGTGTGGGGCAGATCGTGAAACCAATCACGTCATGATCCTCATAAAATATGGGTAAAGAACAGCAAATATCAAGAATGGAAAAAAGTGTGAAGGAGAGAAAGTTTGATTATGAAAAACTTTACAGGGATGAGATGACTTCAAAGATATGTGGAAGAGATAATCCAGAACGCAAAACGAGAGGAGGAGAAACGCAAGGAAGGAACGGAAGAAAGTTGGCAATCAATGAAATGGATAGTAACATCAGCAGAAATAGTGCAAGATTATGAGAGCAGGGAAAAGGAAACTGATCAGTTTGATGATGAGTGCAAAAAAGCAATTGAAGAAAGAAATGGAGCCAGGCTGAAAAAGCTTGGAAGAACAGCAAAAGTGAGCACAAATGAATATAGTGAGAAGAGGAAAATGGTGAAAAGAATATGTAGGAGGAAAAAAAGGGGAAAAGGTTCCTAAAGATAGAGGAGTTATCAGAGAAAAAGGAAAGTAGTAAACTATTTGGAGAAGAAAATATAATCATGAAAGGTCTTCAACCATGCACAAATTATTGGAAAGATATAGGAAATATGGATAGAATATTAGACTGTTGGGCAGAGGAAGATAAGCCTGAAGATGAGGAAGAGGTGGTTTTCCAAGGCCCAGAAATGGAAATTGAGAAGCCAATGTATGCAGAAGTGGAAAGATCTGTTGACACTTTGAAGAAGAACAAAGCTCCAGGCGAAGACAGAATAAAGGCAATGCTGTTACTGTATGAAAAATAATACACAAATTCACCATAAAAATATACTGATATTTGAGTTTCCAAGTGTATATGTCTTGGAGAATTAACAAAAGAAAATTATTGTGTGAAAAACATAGTACAAAATGACAATGTTAAGAGGTTAACATTCCAGTAGAATTATAATACTCAATTAAAACTACAGTACATACTCATATTTTACTTCAAACAGTTATCTAATTTTGAATTAATATTTTATAAACATACCTCTGCTCCAAGTTCTCAGAACATACTACAACAGTGTACAAGCAGATCCATTCTATACGTTAGTAAAGGAAAAGAAGGCTTTCTGAATACTGTCATAATTCTGACCAAAAAATTACAACTTATGGCCACAGCATATTTCTTTCCTACCAATAAAATATATCTAAACAATACCTCTTCTATCTTTCTGCCTCTCTTTGGATGTCTTCACTATAGCTTCTAATATACTTGGGTCATTGGGCTGCAGTTTTAAAGCATGACCATAAGATATTAGAGCATCTGAAAAGCGGAAGGTAGAAAACTCCACCTCAGCCTTCCGAAAGTAACCCTGTAAAAGAAAAACAATCAGAACCTGCCCATGCAATGAAAATAAGTCACGTTTAACAATCAAACAGAAAAAAAGATTATGCTACCTTTGCCCAGTCTGGCTTCAGCCTTATTGCTTCTTTGGCATCTTCAATTGCAAAATAGAACTGTTGCATTTTAAGTAATGCAAGTGACCTATTGCTATATATAGAATAATTGAAGGGATCCAGTTTAATAGCATGGGTGTAATGAAAAACAGATTCTGCATATTTCTTATTCCGCACACACTCATTTCCCTTCTCCTTCAGCTCCTGAACCTGCAACATATGTAGAATTGTTCAATTATTTCTAGTTGATATAAAATTTTTCATCCTCTCTGGTATGAGAATCCTATATTTGTAAATATTTGCAACTAATGCACTTCAATGCATAACAACTTTTTTTGGTACATACATAGCAGCATCAGTTGACTAAGAAATATACTATGTAATATTTCTGTCTAAATTCAGCGCCCATTTCTCATCCAAGTCTCCTGATTAACTGCTAGATGGCTCTGGCAGTCAAATCAGGATTGAGTAGCAATTGTTCAGAGTCGGTGGGCTGGTCACTCACTACTCATAAATGCACATTTCAAAGACTAGGAAACCTCCGAAAGGAGGCGGCGATGACCCACTACTGGGTTGTAGAGCCAAGAAACAACAACAATATTTCTGTCTGTTGTGTGAGATAATAATATTACAGAGTATATATTCCATAGAAACTCCACAAGAGAATAATGAATATGAAATTAGTCACACTAAGAAACTTTTCTCTCAAGTCAAGCTTTCTCCCACATGTTAAAATTTCTACTGCATGTTAAACACAGCACATAATTCCATTTCAAATACAGAATGACTCATCAAGTTCCTCTTATCCTTATACTTAAAGACATTCAACTTGTTGGAACATTTCTCCTCATGGAATTCTATGAACACCAGTTTATCATAAGACTGACCTCTGTGAAATTTGATTGATGGCAGGCAATCTACTTCTTTCCAAAAAACTAACCATAAATCGCTTACTGACTCAGACCAATTTACAGTTGTAGGATTTGAGGTTTTCATGGCGGTGAGTCTGAAGATGGCTGTCTTCTGGGTTGTTGCTTCGTGAAGTCTGGTAGAAGCTGCTGCCTCAATCATCAGGGTGATGAGTCACTGCCCTATTAATGGAGGCAGCATGGGCCTCTGAAACACTGGTAAACTTCTACCAGAATACACAGCACAACCCAGAAGACAGCCATCTTCAATTCACAGTTGTTCTTCAAACGGTATGCTTGTACACAACTGGAAAGCTGGAGTGTGGAATGCAATTAGTGCTTGAAGAATAGTAACAGTTTTCCTTGGCCAAACAGTAAATTCCAAATGTTATGTACGATCAAGTCTTTCATTCCTAATTGTGCAAATAACTGAGGATGAAGAAACATAAGAGCATTTCATGCAGGACAATGATACAACCCACATATCTAATAAGTCTATGACTGCATTACCTAAGTTTTTGCTGAATGAATGATGCGTCAATGTGGAATGCCCACTCACATGATATAAATCCCTGTGGCTTTCATTTGAGACACAATAGGGGATAAAGTGTGAATAAATCTATGTCAAAATGAGAATTGAAGGAAAACATTTAGCAGTAAATGTATGATCTTCCAAGACAACAATTTCACCGTATGTCTGGAAACATTTTTTCAAGACGTGAGATCTGCACATAAAGAAGAAGTCGACACTCCGAGTGTCATACTTCATGAACCAGGGTGTCATACTGTGCCTCAAACAACTTGGCTTCTCCTACTCCACTATGCGTAACAGTACGGAGCCCGGACTCATGATAAAATATACACTGTATTAAGTACAATTAAACAAGAAAAGTAGAATATAAGACAAGAAAGGTCATCTCATGTGAAAAATGAACATTATTTACCTCTTCAGCTGAAGCCATGCTTTCCAACACAAACCATCCGGAATCACACAATTTATTAACTGTGATACTATAGTGTGTCAGTCCCGGTCTTGCTAAGTTGGTACTGCCTGGATGCACAGCAGAGAGAACAGTCTCGATAGTGATGGTCCGCACTTTTATAATCGGGTGTAAATAATGTAACGTTTGAAGACGAATGTTTGGTAATATGTGACATAGATATGTAAATTTACTAGTGAAATTATGTATACGTTCTCTGGCACGTTATGCAGTAGTTTCTTTTATACGCTGTGCATTTGAAGGGCTTTAATGATGAAGATTTCCGTCTTCTGGGTTGTTGCATTGTGTAGTCTGGTCGATGTTAACCGACGTTTCAGAGGTCATACTGCCTCCGTCATCAGGGCGATGAACTGCGCTCTTTTCTACATTTAAATCGAGCATACATACGATTGTCAATAATAAATAACATCTTTCTCCAGAAATATATGCAGTTGTCAGACTCATTCCTTGAGTGTGGCACTAAATGGTTGAAAAAAATATGGACATTATTTGTTTAAATAAAATATAAATTGTGAGCTCCTACAGGGATGTACAACTAGATGGCTTATGGAATCCAAAGGTTCATCACCAATATAACCAAAGCCCCCCAGTTCACATATCTTGCCTCATCCATGTATGCCATGCCCATGTCATTCTTCTAGACTTAGTCACCCTGACAATGTTGGGGTAGGAGTACAAATTTTTAAGCTCATCATTATACAGTTCTCTTCATACCCTATCCTTTTCTTTCCAAGACCCAAATATCCTCAACACCCTTTCCTCAAACACTTGCAATCTATGTTCCTCCCTCAGAGTGAGAAACCATGTTTTGCACCCATGCAAAACAACAGACAAAATTATTGTTTTGTATATTTTAATCTTTGGGTTGTTAGAATTCAGATGGGAAGACAAAATATTTTTAAGCGAGAAGAAGCAAGCATTTGTGGAATTTAGTCTCCTCGTAATTCTCTCATGAATATCGTTAAAACCAAGGATGTACTCATTTTAAAGGTAGTATTGCCCTGACTCTATAAATAAAAGTTTTGCCATTATACTAACAAACACTGCAAAGTTATGCTATTTTAGGCTGTCATTAAAATTACATTTGGATCTGTGTTGGTTGATGTAATATTTTCAAACTGATGGATTGACATGGACAGACCAATCCCATGGCCCCTAGATCACCAGACATTGCTCTGATGGGTTTTTTCTGTGGGGTTACATAGAAGATTTGGTTTACCAAACATCAGTAATTTGAGTACAATTGCTACAGTTAAACCACAAATGTTGGAAAATGTATGGCGTGAGTGTGAATATCGTTTGGACACTTTAAGCACACATGTAGAAGTTTATTAATAATATAACAAAACTTTGTGTATATATATCTACTTGTTTAAAACTGTTTGTGATTACCAGTGTTTAATAAAAAATATATCACACTAATCAGGGTAGTCATTTACGGACACCTTGTATCATTTCAAAATATCCCATTAGAAATAAATCACAATTGGCAATGAACCAACTGAAGAAGTCTCAATGTTAAATAAAAAGGTAATGATATATCCTGTGACATCAATACAGATATTCAAATTAAATTAGCCAAATTCCAGCCCTTATATGGAACAATAGAGAGCACTTCATTCAAAGACAGTATGCTAAAATTGTATATAGTATTAGCTGTTCATATTTTAATTTGTGGGACAGATTCAGTCATCAGAAATGCATCTCCTTCACCAAATAAAAGGATGCACACTAATGGATCATCTTACAAATGAATCCATCAGAGATCTTGGGATATTTAAAATACAAGGTAAGATTGAAGAGTATAGGAATCAATGGATTCAACATGTAAACAGGATGGGATGGATGACGTGACATCCCAAAAATAGCATACAAATAATAATGAGGAGGAGTAAGATTTATTATGCCTACTTCATTTTCTACAAGAACGGCTTAAGTCAGTAATCACTCGCTACGTTTGATGTAAGCCCTTGTTTACGAACAAAAAATGTTCTATTTGTCAAATGGGGAAAAAAGCCGCTCAAGGTATTTGTAAATAATAGGTACTGAAACTACGTATTAAGACAAGTTACAGCAGGCAACATATTCTCGTCCTCCAGTGTTCTAATATTTACTGTCGAATTCAACATTGAAAAGATGTTAATAACCCAGCAGCAATGTATATAGATAGTTATAAAGATTAAAAGGACCCGATCATAGCAACACGGCGAGGACGACAGGGCAATCAATGTACAATATTATTCTGTACCGAGTAATTCTTAATTACGTACAATAAATAAAAGGATAGTGTTCTGCTCCTACAATTAAACCAATAAGATCCTATAAACATATGGTCGCAACCGCTTTGTTAGTGAGCTATGGCAACATCTCGCAAGGTCGAGGCATCAGCTTGTTTAGGCAGGATTAACTGGCGATTTCCTTACAGGACCAGATGTGCTGCTACGTCAGCTATCGGGGACCTCCACCTATTTGCATTTTAACAGAATTACTACCTGGATGATGTACCACAGGCAAGAAGATGATGACGATCTCAGATGTGAGCCAGAACAGACTATTTAACCTATCCCATGAAGCTGTTGATGATTTTTGATGGGAAACAGGATATGGCATGAGATGAAATGTGGATAGTTCATATTCAGCTATAGCTTTGAATATCTAGGAGAAAATTATACTTAGGTCAACAACAAAATCAAAAGCTAAAACAATTTATGATGCTGCATGCATATAAGTAATAGTTTATTTTTTTGTGTATTTTTCTTGTTTACAGGAGTCCCATGGGACACAATTCCATGTTTTGAACAAAACTTGCATTAAATTAATAATTTTCTTAAAAAAAAAAAGATTCCCAAGTGGCATATATATATATACATAGATATTTGCCTGTTCTCGTGTCTTTACATAGCAGCCCACATACTAATCACATCTTTGCTTCATTCCCCCTCCCCAAATTTCCACACAAAGAATAATATGTATATGTTTTGTGCATTTCTTAAGCTGGTATGATAAACTACAAATTGAATTTACTTCCCATTTTAGTACTTGAAAGTTGCTACCAAGTTAGGCAACTTCAACATTTCACTATATTACAAGACACCAGTAACAAAACACTGAAACACTAGGAATTCTGTAACAATGTACAGTTTCAGTACATGAAAGTTATGTGAATAAACAGTCAAATATCACAGCCAAGTTATTAACCCATTATTGCAACTAACAGATATTACAGACAAGAACATTTTGACAACACTAACAATCTGTTCATTCTTTCAAACAATGAAAAAGGAATATTTTACATTCTGACAGACTGAGCAGGTTATAAGCGAAGAGCACTGATGAATCTCCAAAACTGAAAAGACAATTTGAAAATGTATTTTCAAAATAAGCAAAAATAAACACTTGACAAGTTTTTTCTTTGTCATGTTTAAAATAAGCCAGTTCATGCAAATGAAGTTCCCTGAATTAAAGAATATTAATCACAGTGGGAAGAACTAGGGAAGGAGAGGGCCATTCGCCCCTCAGAACTTTTTCCATTTACATGGAATTCAGTGTTCTGCACCAGTTTGCTCCCTTGATTTAGAAAAAAAAAAAAAACTATGATCATATGGCGAGCTACATTGCTGATTACGATCCTGTCTGCAAATTACTGAATCTGCCTTCAAATTATAAATAAATCGAAGAAAATAGTATTTTATTCACAATGAGCAGTGGTGTTTATGTCATTTCCCAGTAGTTGATACATCTGTATTATTGATGGGAAGACAAATTCAATATGTATGGACATTATGGATGTTGGAAATGAAGTGCGGAATTTATTCATTTATAGTAAAGTATGCACTGAAAGTAAATGGTCACCACTCTGTAACATTTTAAGTATTTCCCATATTATCAATTGTAAAAATAGCTCCCCAATAAAAATATATTTTAATGCTAGTTCAAGTGTTAATGCTGTCTTTATTTTATTGAACTTTATCTAAATATCCACTTTTTAAGTTGGCACCTTGATGAAGAATAAGACTTCAGCAGTACTAAGTTGTATACTAAGAGCTACTCACATGTTCAGTGATTTAGCAACACCCAGAAGATACAAAATGCTTCACTAGTGAACACTAATATTGCTGACACATATTAAAATGGAACAAAGGCAATTACAAATTAACAAAAATATTTCCATTCTCAAAATGGCAATTGCTCTATGTCATTCACGTAATTAGGTTTACTGATACTGAAATTTTGATACATACTAATAAGTAAATGATTTAATGGTATTTTAACATACAAAACTGGAGAAATCATTTTCCAATTCTTTCATAAATACTTGTTTTAAATGGTGGTGGCTTCACTGCACCTTTTATTCCTCCAGTGCATCGAGAATATTACACCTCCTCATGTATATTATGTTCTTTTGTGTGCAAAATCATATTAGTCATAAAATCAAAAGTACATTTGAAGGAAAACCATTTTATATTGAAGAGAAGCATATATATGGCACTGAACACAATTTGGTAATATACCAACAGTTTCAGTACTAGTTTCATATGTCACTACGACTTTTGTTTCTCAGAATTATGTATGCAATATTAAGCTGCAGGGAGGATTTTCTACAACTTTAACACATTAAATATAATAAAAATCACAAGTAAAACTTAACTTTTTATTATATGATGTCCAAGAAATAGAATATGTTTTGATGATGTTCTAAGAACTTCTCTTATATGTCAGCTTAAACATGTACCTCTCTTTGCAACCAATAATTTTTAGAAAATTTAATTTTGCCTAGCAATGAAAGCTCTTTACTTAGTCAGTACATATGTATCCATCACATAAAGTGAAGTGGACAACTTTTGTTCCAAGTATTACAAACATTAATATCAGCAAAATTTCCTTCAAATCCAAGGATAACAGCCAATGCCAAGGGAATTGGTCAGCATGTTAATTCTAAATTACAAAGTCTGAGACTGTACATTTTAAATTCATTTTAAAATGGAAGAAAATTATGAAGGAAAATTTGTTGATGTAAAACAGTTTTTGTGTGCAAGGAACAAAAGCAAACTCACATCCAATGATGTGCAATATCAGTCCTGTAGTTTGAAAACAATAAACGTGTGGCTCAAAAACTTGAAACAATTTGTTATCTACAGCAGTCGTTTATACATATAATCAAACCTTTACATTCAAATAAATTAATTATCCAGCTCATAGTAACAATCCACTTTGCCACTTGGGAACAACAAGCAATGTACACTGTGCTTATGCATGTAGACTAGGGGGTGGTATATTACATACTATTTATATATATCTTGCATTCAGATTTAGCTCCTTATTTCCCATCAAGGCTGCAACATCAACAGAATGATGGAAGATAACTGAGGCAACTAAAAACCATGCACTGGCAAGAGGAAGAACAATTAGAAATAAACACAATTTTTAAGATGAAAATAATGATTCATATATTGTATGATTTCCAAATTCAATCTAGTAACAGATTTTAACAATGTAGAAAGAACCAAAACATTTTTGAACTTAGAACCTGTAAGTTTAACAACTATAAACTGCACGTAACACAATATATTCGTTTGTATAACATGACCTCATACTATTTAAAACTAAATTCACTAAGTGTCATATTTGGTGAAATAGCACATGTACTCCGGAGATCACGTATATACATCTTTACTGCACACTTATTCACTGGTAACTAGAAGGTACTAAGTGTCATATTTCTACTAAAATCAGTATTTTCTATTTCCTGTTTTTCAAAACTGTTCAAAGTTATATGGCGCTTCATATTCGATCATTTTTAACACCAACCTAAAATGCTCCCTATGAACAATCTGCAACCTTCAATACATCCTGTGCAATGTCAACTTTACTGGCTAAACACTGATGTTATTGCTTAGTAATGCTTATGTATGATAAATATGATAATATGACAGAAATGTATTATTCTTTGATTACAAGACAAAAATTCTGTTTACGCCTTAAATATTTTGTGTGAATCATATAACTTATGATGAAAACCCAATTATTTTTTAATTTTTGAGTTGTAAACTGCTGTGGTCTTTTTTGTTTTGGTTTGTACGAAATTTGGAAGGAATTATATACAATTTCCACATGTTTCTTTCTAGTAGTTCAGTCACATTGTGGATACATCAATCCTGCTATGGACAGACTAAACGTGCTATAATTATACTGCACCTGAAACCAATTTTTTTTTTTAAAATCAGGAACTTCACAGGTGGCGTTCAATAATGTAATCTCCACTCCGTTTTCTAAAATAACCCCAAAAATAACATTTGTTATTGTTTTAATTCCATTATTAGAAAAGGGGGCCCATATAAGTACCTGACCCATTATACATGTTGATAAATACATACTCATACATGCATTACAGTTCTCCAAAAACAAACCCACAATCTATTATTATGTGAAAATATAAGATTTTTAGCAATCTATATGCATTGCTAGTCACCAGAATAAAAAAAAAATACCCTAAAACTCCATACCACTGGATCTCTTTTCACATCTGTAAGTACAACACAAAACTGAATTCCCTCTTCCTTACACATACTAAGTATTCTTAAACATTCCATGTCTGACACTTTTTTTTTGGGGGGGGGGGGGGTTTGGGAATTATTAGTACATAAATGTACCAATGAACTGAGAATGATTTGCATTTTGGTATAAAATAAGTATGAAAAGAATCCTCAAGTTGATAACAACTAACTGATTTGAAGCCCTTAAATTAAAATCTGATTCCTTCATTTTCATTTACATATAAAGCATAAATCAATGGTCCCATGAACTGGTATCAACTTCAGTATCTAAACCTCCAACAAGAAAAGCAATGAATCATCATAATCATCATAATTCTGCACATGCACAGTGTACAAATCACTAATTGTAACTTCACACCAAGCCCATTCATGCCATCAGTATTGAGTGTAATTTCTCAAGGTCATCACACCATAATCACTGAGCTTCACAACTCCACATCGATGAGCAGACACCCATGTGTTGACTTAAAGTATGTAGTAATTACACAACCCCCGGACTAAAAAAAGGTTCTTTTTTTTACTTTCTCTTGCAAAATTTCATATAGCAGAACACAATAATGAAAAACACAAAATTATATTATTATATGTGATAATTTTATAAAACAATATACAGACAATTATTTAAAAGCCTAAGTCAGGGATCAATCCGGTCGTCACCAAGTATTCAGGCCAGGGCACAGATGTAAAATGAGGCCATTGGAAACATTCGTTTCCATTTTATCTACGTATACAGTATTGTAAGCACAGTTGCCATAATGCAAAAAGAAAAGAATCACAATCCCTTCTCTATTATAAATAGGAAGAAAGACTTTGTCAACAGGAGATGGACAAGATGAGATAACATAACTCCTCTGGACATTATCTCTTCCACAACCAAGCAATAACTCTGTATAGCAGTAATTGCATACATTGTTTAACAGTATTCTTTCCCCCCCAAAATTTTGGCAACGATGGCAGGATATATTTTTCTTTCTTGCGCTGGCATCAGTTGAAGATTTACTGCAGGTATGTGGCATCTAACCACAGGAATGAGCATCCATCAAAAAACATCACAGTCAAAAATATAATATGTATAGTATGGTAGTTCTAAGTGGTCTCACAACACTTGTTTCAGTTACTCACACGTCCTCACTCATTCACTCACACATTTGTCCAGAACACAGCCAGAGATAATTGAGTGATAAATCTAACTAACACCGTTGCTGCAGAACACTGCCTACCATTCATTATGTATTTAAATAAAACCTTTCCAAAATAAGCAATGTTTATTCTGGGTGTACACCAACCCCAGAAAATAAAACTGAATTACTTCTCTACCTCTGAATCAAGAATTGCACTTCACCTTTCACATACCACATATCAGTATGCTATGAAAATATATTAATCAGAAGTGCATCTTCATTAAGTAATTTTAAGTGTCATCTTTCTATAGAAAGATAACAAAGTGCGTAAGTCCGATGTTGAGGTAACCGACAAAATATGTGCAGAAAGTCAAATGACTTGTAGCTAATGAATTATATTTATATATAAAACCAGCCAATCCATGTAATGCCATTTCATAAGATTTAAGCTAAAAATGCCCAAATGCCTAGGTACACTAGACAGCTGTGTGCACAAGATTCAATGCAAACCGAGCTTTGGTTCCCAGTTAACAACTGCAGAATATACTGTTCAGTGTTGCGGTTCCTTAAACTTAATTTCTTTGTTGTAAATTTCCAAAACTTAACAATTTCCTTTCAATCTGGTTTCAGTGCCATCCTCCAAAGACCACACATACTCATGGAAAAATGCCTTACAGTTTTTGCTGAATTTGCTGGTATAAAATTAAACAGCTAGTGTGACGACTATATAATCTTCATGAATGATACATATTTCTCACCACTTGTATTTGTAATCATGATCAGTGGACAGCTAAATGGAATAATCCAAAATTACATTTGTTGGATGTAGAATATAATTTCATTGACACTGGCACCTCTTTCAATTTTAAAAAATAATTTCACCATATAAGGAAGGGGAATATTTTCAGGCACAACAAACTAGACTATACAAAATCACATACATGTTAATTTGAATGCTGCGCGTTCAGAAGTGGCATGACATTTCAATGCCAACTAGTTGGTAACACCCTCAAGGAGTCATGCACATTCCATCATTATATTCTAATCCCTGTAATGAACTAATTCCATAATTATGAAACAAATGCACATGTACTAAACAAAAAACCAGTTTCCTCAAAATTTCTTGCTTAGCAAGAGGAAACTGAAATTACAGCAACTGTGCATGGACCCCATACCAATCATTTCTGCTAATCTCTATTCTAACAGACATACTGAAGATAATGGCAAGGGAAAGCGGTTCCCCCAAAATGTTTATATATACATAATGCAACTGATACTAAATAATTTCATTGGAAGCATTTTTTTTTATTTTCAAAGACAACATTGGAAGCACTAAAATACAGAGACTCTTACAAAACTGGAGCAATATGGTAACTAAATTTTCATCAATTATCTTCCTGTCATGATAACATGACTACGCATAATTTAATAATTGGCTGTGTCTGGCTCAATCAGCCCCTTCTTCCAAACTAAGCTACTAGAAGAACTTCCCTAAGTAATTCTGGTGATGGTAAGATTGCCTGCTGCAATATGCTAAAACAGAGAAAATCACAACTTCGACAGCAGGAAGAGAGCGAGGCTGGCACGAGCATTTTAATCTCACCAAGTGTCTATAATTCTCACTGATTTGCAGGCCACAATGTAGCAAAATACCCATGCCTCCTCTCCATTAACTTCAGGGTTGCTTGCACTGGTATGTTCAGAACAGAGACCTATGTCATGGCAATATTCGGTAAAATATTATAGAAGGGAAAAACAACATAACTGGTGCAAACACATAGTCTAGCAGAGTATGGAATGCCAACACAACTAAAAACAATTATACTGAAGAGAAATGACACAACAAAAATCGCACAGAGTTTAGTCACAAGTGAGTATACAGAGCCCAAAATGAAAGGAAACAATGGAAAGGAAAACATAAAACAGTGATGATAAAACTGAATCCACAAGTCATACGTTAATTTAACTGTGATAAAGTACTTGGATCCAAATCCAACATTAGTCCCTTAATGGACAGAATCAGCATTACACTTTCAAATAAATAAATTTATCAAATCTACACATCCCATTTCCAGTTCTCCACTTCCTGAAGTGCAAATTACAATTAATTTGAAGTTGTATATTACACAGCTGTCTGTGCCCAAACTACAAGAATCTAATTATTGCAAGCACAATTTATAAAGATTTCTTGTAAGAATGTAATAGCTTAAACAGAACTCAATAAATACTAGATACATGGGATATTGATGTGTACACAATGTTTCATTAATAATATGTACACCAAAATGACTAGTGATTAAGCAAGCAGGAAGGGCCACATGTAAATGTATACTCAACTCACTTGTGGACCTCTCCACCCCAAAAGGAAAATTAATTTTATGTGAAGATAAGCTACCCACTGCTCACTTTCAAAAGTATTTTGCAATGAGCCATTTACATTTCCTTTCATTTTAAGCATAATGTAACAAACAAAACTTGGCATTTACAATAACACAGAACAAGTAAAGGTCATATGGCTCACATGTCACAGAAGAAGAAAGAAGACCATCAGCTATTACTCGGTACAATCACTAATTTGTTATGGTTGTGGCAGGGGGTGGCAGTGGTGATGTTTAGGTTGGTGGTGAGGATGAGCGAGTGCGATAATGAATTCCATAATAAAACTCAACCCCCGAGATTTCTTTTTTGTCTTCTGGCTTGAAGTTGTCGTTGGCAGAGAGGGGTGGCAGCAGGCAGCAAGGAAAGTAGTGGTGGCACCGGGTTCGGAGCCAGGGGAGGCCAGGGTCAGTAATGCTCGCCACCTGAGGCACCTGCAGAATCATACTCCAGCACCAAGCGCTTTATATGTGACAACTTCTCGTGCAAGTACTGAAACCTACGTTTCGCCTCCTGGAACTTGATATCACGCTTGTTTTCCAGGTACTCTTGAACTATTTGGTTCTTGATGTCCTACAAAATAAAAAAATGGACTTATGTTTCAAATCCCACATTTAAACATAAACTATATAAATAAAAAATATTGATTTGATAGACACAGGTGAAATGGTCAAATACAGCCCTCTGTTAGTCCCCTTGCAACTTTAAATAAGAATGAACTGTCCACATCATGGGTTTCTTCCACAGTGAATGAGAATAGAACCAAATCAGAGAAGTGTTAAAATTATTTTAAAACATATGCACTGAATGGTTATACCAGGCAGATGAAGGTTTTTTTGCAGGCAGGGAAACCTAAAGTTTTCTCTCACATGTAGTGAATTTCATTATAATTGTTAAAAAGACAGAAACTGTCACCATGGTATTGTAGTGAATAAATAATATACAAGATAATGATTACTGTTTTAATTCTTGCATCCATTCTGTATACTACAACTAATGGTGATGACACAAACTCTGAACACTCCCTTTACAGCTGTTTCTGTTGTGACACGGAAACCAATCATCTCCTCCCACCCAGCTGCTTCATTTTATTGGGTGGTTCACATGTTGCCAATTAGTCAAACCACTATTTGATGTGATGTGGATAACTTTACTACAAACAATGTAATAGGAGCAATATTTCAATGTCCTCTGCTGTTCTCTCTATGAAAAACAGTGAACTGCGACTGGGGTTAATTCAAGATTACAATGATGTCACACCATAAAAGAAATAATGCATGACCTGCTCACGATGGTGGCTGAACGTGAAATGACTAATATCACAACACAGTAGGTACTGACGACAGTCCAACAAGTCCCTTCATAGCTTGTCTGACAACACAACCATCTTTCCCTTCTCTTTGGGCAGATGTGATACATAAACAGTAGCAAAGAATTATAACTGACTTTATGTATAATTATACATAATTTAAGAACTAATCTTACCAATTAAGCATAACACATAATTTATCAGTGACAAATATACCCTTCTTTTCTTAAACACCGCTACTTATCCTTATCTTTAACAATAGAAACTAAAATTAATGCCTATCCTAAAGGGATTATGCAAAAATATAGCGATTAAGACTGATTAAAATGTCATGCAAGTATTTTCTTGGTAACTTTAAATTACTTGATATCAATGTGAACAGTTAAACATTATCTCTCATACTAGTTACCATGTAATAAATGAATTACCTTCCAGGCAGGGCTATTAC